GGGGGGGGGGGGGGCACGAGGCGCTAGAACCCCTAAGATGGCTCCAAGGGGGCCTCAAAGAGCCCAAGATGGTCTCCAAGATGGCGCACAATAGCTCAAGATGGCTCAAGCTAGCCTCCGACATACCTCCACGAGGCCCCAAGACAGCCCCAAGACGGTTTCAAGTGCCCGCCGAGCCCTCCAAGGCCCCCCCCAAGAGGCCAAAATGGCTCCAAAACCAAAAGAAAATCAATGTGTTTGGCGTTCCCGCCTTTTCGCTTCCGACGGGCTTCGGAGGCTTCAAGATCGCCCCAATATGGCCCAAGAGATCTCCAAGAGGGCCCCAAGAGGGCCCCAAGAGAGCTCCAAGAGCGCCCAAGAGCGCCCCAAGAGCGCTCCGATAGGGCCCTGAGGCGCCCTTTTTGAACCTCAGGGGAGGGGGGGGGGAGGGCTGAATCGGGGACCCCCCCTCTTTTGAGCCATGGGGCCCAAGAGAGCCCCAAGAGACCTCTCAGACCGCCCCCCCCCCCCAAAGAGCCCCAAGAGGGCCCCAAGATGACCCCAAACGAGCCCCAAGAGGGCCCCAAGAGGGCCCCAAGAGGACACCAAGAGGACCCCAAGAGGACCCCAAGAGAGCCCCAAGATAGCTCCAAGAGACCTCCGCGAACCTCTCACAACAACACCTCAACTCGCCTGTGCATCGTTGTTGGGTGGGCTTGAGGGGATACGCGAAGCGTCAATAATTCGCGTTTGCAACATCCTTCCCCTTTGGGGAGGGGGGGGGCACCTTGCCCCTGGGCCTGGCCGGGAGGGGCGCGAAGATTTAGAGCGACAAGGACGGCGCAGGATGATTTCAAGAGGACCCCTGATCGCTAAATATGGCCGTCGAGGGGGCGGAATGCCTCCAAGATGCCCAAAACCGTTCCAATGCGACTCCAAGTGTCAACGGAGCTTCTCAAGGGTACCCCGAATATGTCATCACCCTTCAAATGTGGTGTTTTGTTAAACGTTGTTTGCCTTTTCGATTGTTCGCCTCCGACGGGCCCCCGAAGCGCTACGATGGCCCGAAAGAGCCCGACGGGCCCAGAAGGGTTCCAAGGCGGCCCCAATTGCACCCGAGAGCGCCACATGAGGGTCACAAGAGATGCTTTGTCGGACCCCAGCGGGGGGACTGATATTGAGTACCTCTCTTCATTGATTGATGGCCTTCATGCCGGCCCCAAGAAAGCCCCCGAGGGCCTGGGGAGGGCCCCAGGTCTCAAACTTCATCATTACCGGCCTCCTTCAATCATGATATGCGTAACACCGCCCCAAATAGACACCCTGCCTGGGCATCGTTGATGGATGAGCTGGCGGGGACACGCGAAGCGTCAAAGAATGGCGCGGGCGGGGGGATGGGAGGAGATCGTCATCCCTCCTCTTGCCCCCTGTTCCCCGTATTCGTCCTCCTCGTCGTCCCCCGTACCCCTCACTCCTCCAATTCCTGCACTTCCTTCACCTTCTTTCTCCTCCTCCGCTTCTCCTCGTCCCCTCCTCCACCCCCTCCCCCACCTCCTCCTGCTCCTCCTACTCCTCTTCCTGCTCCTCCTCCTGCTCCCCCCCCTCCTCCTCCTCCTCCTCCTCCTCCTCCTCCTCCTCCTCCTCCTCCTCCTCCTCCTCCTCCTCCCCCCCGAGGTAGCCAGGGGGGCCTCTGAAGAGGCGAACGGGGCAATTCGTTTGGGAACCGTTTCTGGATCGGATCGGCCAGTGGGGCACGAGCAGCTTTGTGGACTGGGTCACCACCGTCCTCGGATGCGCGAATGCTTCTTTTAGCTGGCTCAGAAGCGCAGATATCCACATAGGAACCAGACAATCGGCTTCAACCGATTTTTGCAGGGGCGCCGAATTGAGTGGGCGACTGCATTGGGTGACTGTGTTTGGTGGCTGCGCTGGGTAAATGTGTTGTGTGGCTGCTCTGGGCGACTGTGTTGGGCGGCTGTGTTGATCGACTGTGTTGGGTGACTCTGTTGGGTGACTGCGTCAGGTGACTGTGTCTGTTGACTGCGTTGGACGACTGTGTTGGGCTACTGTGTTGGGCTACTGTGTTGGGTGACTGCGTTGGGCGCCTGTGTTGCGCTACTCTGTTGGGCTACTGTGTTGGGTTACTGTGTTGACTGACTGCGTTGGGTGACTCTGTTGGGTGACTCTGTTGGGTGACTGCGTGGGCAACTGTATTGGGTGACTTTAATGGGCGACTGTGTTGGATGACTGCGTCAGGTGACCGTGTCTGGTGACTGCGTTGGGCGACTGTGTTGAGCTACTGTGTTGGGCGACTGTGCTGGGTGACTGCGTTGGGCGACTGTGTTGAGCTACTGTGTTGGGCGACTGTGTTGGGCTACTGTGTTGACTGACTGTGTTGGGTGACACTGATGGGTGACTGCGTTGGACGACTGTGTTGGGCGGCTGTGTTGATCGACTGTGTTGGGTGGCTGTGTTGGGTGACTGCGTCAGGTGACTGTGTCTGTTGACTGCGTTGGGCGACTGTGTTGGGCTACTGTGTTGGGCTACTGTGTTGGGTGACTGCGTTGGGCGACTGTGTTGCGCTACTGTGTTGGGCTACTGTGTTGGGCTACTGTGTTGACTGACTGTGTTGGGTGACTCTGTTGGGTGACTGCGCTGGGTAAGTGCGGGCGTAGAGTGCGGGGTGCGAGGGCGGGGTGCGAGTGCGAAGTGCGAGTGTGGATTGCGAGTGCGGGCGTAGAGCGTGGGGTGCGAGTGCGGGGTGCGAGTGCGCAGCGCGAGTGTGAAGTGCGAGTGTGGGCGTAGAGCGCGGGGGTGAGTGTGGGGGGAAGTGCGGGGTGCGAGTGTGCAGTGCGAGTGTGAAGTGCGAGTGTGGGCGTAGAGTGTGATGGGCGGCCGTGCGCCCCGAAATGGCCTGCTTTATAGACATGCACGATCGCTGCCCCAGAGACATACGCAACCCATGCGATGGGACCCACGACGGCCTGGTGCGTGGTGACCTCGCCTGCCTTACTGCGGCCATAGTGCCGCTGCAGAAACGCATCCGCCGCTTCGGCCAGCTCAGGGCAGCCGTAGTCCACAGCATGCGCGGCCAAGGCCTCAACCTCATACTCCTCTCCTGCCTCCTTGGCTGCCTTGACTCGGTTCCGCAGGTAGCACCCAAGCAAATCCGGTGCCGCCGCGACATGCGCCAGGGCCGGGTCGGTGTCGATCTCGTGCATGACCTCCTTGCGCCTGGCTAGCTCCTGGATGGAGTCTGGCAGAGGAGCCCGCTGCTGCTTGGCCTGGTGGTGGTTGCCCAGCCACTTGGCGTCTGGGCCCTGCATGGTGACCCGAAGGTGCTCCTCGAGCTCCGTCGGGTTGAAATCCTTGAGCTCCTCTGGTGCCTCTACCCACCCTGACGGCGGCTGTGTCTCAGAGCCCGCACCCTTGTGGCTGGCCTCCTGCACAGCTTCCGACGGCTCCGGATCGGCAACGGCAGTGATGCTGCCGCACTTCTTGCCACCTCCTTTCGCACTTGCTGCGGGAGTCGGTCCTCTCTCCTGGGCCCCTGCCGCAGCCGCCTCGCCTGCCCTCTTGGAGGCCTCCTCAGCATCGTGCGCCTGTCGCAGCGCAGCAATCCGCTTGTCCGCCTCCTCGTGCGAGCCCACCTTGGGGCCGCCGTTGGGTCCGCCCCTCTTGATCAGCTGCATCTGCACGGTGAGATCGAGCAAACCTACCTTGCCGATCGGTTTGTGCGAGTGCGGGCATGGAACAAGACGGACGAGGAGGGGAAAGGAGGAGCAAGGACAGGAAATGGAGGAATGGAGGACGAAGGGGAGGAGGAGGAGGAGGAGGAAGAGGAGGAGGAGGATGGGGAAGCAGCAGTAGAGCAGGGCAGGAACATGAGGGACGAGGAGGGGGAAGGCGGAATAAGGACAGGAAATGGAGGAATCAAGGACGAGGAGAAGGAGGAAGAGGAGGAGGAGGAAGCAGCAACAGAGCAGGGCAATAACAAGACGGATTTGGAGGGGGGAAGCGGAGTAAGGACAGAAAGCGGAGGAATGGATGGAGCGCCTCGAATGCACCATCCCTGCAGCGATGGCCATCGCGTAGGAAGCGCTGGCCAAATCCATGTGGCAAACTTCTCCTTGAAGAAAACGAACACGTGCTTCGGGCAGATGTTGCAGGAGCCACATGCGAGTTCCGCAACTGGGACCATCGACGGAGCTCCCTATGTGGCCACGAAGCGTTGTGCTGGGCGCAGGAACTGCATGCGAACTGCGCTGGGACCATCGGTGGAGCTCCCTACTGGGCCACGGAGCGCTGTGCTGGGTGGGGGAACCGAATGCGAACTGCGCCACTGGGGTCTTCGGTGGAGCTTCCTATGGGGCCCCGAGACGCTGTACTGGGTGGGGGAACCGCATGTGAACTGCGCCACTGGGACCTTCGGTGGAACTCCCCATGGGACCACGAAGCGCTCTACTGGGTGGGGGAACCGCGTACCAACTGCGCCACTGGGACCTTCGGTGGAGCTCCCTCTGGGCCACGGAGCGCTGTGCTTGGTGGGGGAACCGAATGCGAACTGCGCCACTGGGATCTTCGGTGGAGCTCTCTATGGGGGCACGAAAAGCTGTACTGGGTTCCAAGAAGTCGTCGGTCTGCCGCGTTTGCGGCGTCCACTCGGCCAACACACATCGAAACTCATTGGTCCGAATTCACACCCAGAAGGTGCATATTTTAAGGATCCGCCAGATCACCGACACCAGCTGGGACGCCGCCGCCATCATGCTGTTGACGTCGTCGCCGCGGTCGTAGTGCCAGAGGGCAAGCCCAATCAACATCGAATTGGAAACTGCATCGAATCGGACCACATCGGCACCGAGTCGGAATCGAATCGGATGGGCCGTGCCAAGATGCACAACGACGCCATGCACACATCGAGCCGCATTGGATTCTCGGAATACTGGAATCGAATTGGACCAGACTGGCTAGAATCACTGTCGAACCCGATCGAAATGCACCCTGAGAAGGTCCGCCGTGCGGTCTTTGCCCACAGAGTCGTAAACATGCATATGTGATGAAGGGGTTGGTCGGATGACCAACTTCTCTTATGTAGGCAGGAGATACGAATTCCGGTCTGAGTGCAAACAGCAGCAGAAGGACGTGAAACAAAGACGGGAAGAGAGGAGCGAACCAAGGGGGCAGTAGCACTGTAACTGAGAGGGTCAGCCGTGCCGTCCTTATCCACGGAGTCGCACTCCAGGGCGTATTTCAGCGTCACTCCGCGGGCGTCGAGCCACAGAACGAGGTCCTCTTTCGTGAGGCGGGCCCACTCCCCCGCGCAGACGCGGCGGTCCTGTGTGGGGGCCCTCGTCGTCGGCGTCGTGGTCCTATGCCTCGTCCCAAGATTTCGAGGCGAAGCCTGCCGTGGCGACGAGGCACCAACGGGAGGCACAAGAAAATTCACTGGTCGACCCACGCGTCGTCGCCGTCGTCGTCCTCCTCCTCCTCTTCTTCCTCCTCCTCCTCCTCCTCTCCAGCTGTACTCCTGCTGCTGCTGCTGCTGCTGCTGCTGCTGAAACGCGGCGGGCCCACGTCGAAACCGTGGGCGTCAGTCCTGAGCCCAGGACTGGCCTGGCCATGACTGGTAATTAGGTGTAAGCTCGGCAACCCCCGAGATAACGATGAAGACGATGGTGACGCTGCAGGCTCGAGAGAGGGGGCGGGTGGGCGAAGTAGAGCAGAGCGATGTCCGCGCAGCGAATGAGAGAAGCCGAGGGTCCACACTGAGCACCCAAGGTCCCAAACCACACCCAACAAACAACGGACGAGGCAGGATGAAGATGAATCTGGCTGAAAACAACCACTGGGAATCTCTCAGTGCCGGCGGGTCTGGAAGACATATCGGGCACCATGGCCGTTCCAGAACGTTCTGGGACACTCTGAGAGCGCTCCAGAAAGCTGTGGACCAATCTATCCTCGTCCTGGGCTTGCCTGAAACCAGCTAGCATGGCTAAGAGCCGGGCCTGCTATGTCTGTTTCTTCGCCCTGGTCCTGGGAGAATCTGCCTGGCTTCTGGGCCTTCATGATTCCTTGGGGCGGCGGCGGAAAACCACGATGCAGCCCGGGTACACCGAAGAACGGGCCCGCAGGAGCAGAAAGGGATCAGGAACTGCTGCGCATGAAGACACAACTACATAAACATACATGTTCTTGAATAGGCACTCTACCCTTTAAGCCTGGCGCGCAGAGCGCGCGTCAGGGGCGGCACTGGAGGCGCCACCAGGGGGCCAGCGCAGATCCAAGAGATGAGAGCGGGCCTTTGGGAATGTGTGTCTGTGTGACGTTTTCCTCCTCGGAGGGCTCAACCCCCCTCCCGCTCTTGGCGCCGGCTGGCGCGAGGCGTGGCGGGCCGTGTGCTGTACTTGTGGCGACGCCGCTCGACTGCCTCGACGCCGCGGCCGCATCGTGGTCCGCATCGCCGGCTGCCCTGGGGACATCTGCTGCGATGCCACGGACGTCCCCATCCACACGTGGAGGAAGAACAGGCTGCATGAAGATGAACTGTCGGAGGTCCGTGCGGGCCTCTGGGCACTTAACATGTGGACGCGGTCCCAAGAAACCCTCGCAAGAAACACAGCCGTGAAACCCGCGCGCGAGATGCACACGGGGGGGATCCAAAGTACCCTTAACGGAGCAGCTCCTTCAACGGCCGCGGCAAGTAACCGCACGGCGCGCGTAGCGAAGAAACCCGGAGCACTCTGAAGAAGAGCGCATGGTTTCTTGATGTGCGCCCCCACTGCATATTCATGCCTTCTCTGGTCTTCGGACACGTGAACCGACGCCTTAATAGCCAAGACTGGCCAAAACGCCTTCGACTGTTCACCCAATCCGGGTCGCGCGTCCTGCACGTGCAGGGCCTGACCTGCTGGCTCGCCCTGCTCGCAGTTAGGCCATCTAGAGTCGACTCTTCCTCGCCTCCTCAAGCTCTTCCTTGACCGCGATCACGCCTGCTTTGGTCTCCATGGTCAAATCCAGGAGGCTCTTGGCATAGATAACTAAACTGCGCAGCAGGAATTCTGCCTAAATCGCGTGCTCTGCCACACAAGCAATGCTACACGCTGTGTGGGCATCCTTGACCGTCTCCCTGATCTCGTAGAAGCACTCCTTTCTCTTGCCTGGACCCCGCGGCACCAGTCACTGAAGTGTTGGCTCCTGGCTGCTGAGAAAAGCGATCCCCCACGTTAGTACAATGAGGCCACGCAGTCCGCAGCCTCAGCACATGTCAATGACTGTCCTCGCTGCGGCATCGCTCCGCGCCGTCCTCCTTCTCACATTCGACGTCGATCGCCTCGTGGTATTGTTTCTTGGCGCTGCCGAGCTGCGCGTCGGCGGTGGTGCAAGGTCGGCGAGGTCGTCTGCCAGTGAGGCAGGGGCAAGACAAGCACGATCAACATCGCATCGCCCTCGGGCATTCTTTGGGTCCGCAATCTCATCGCCACGCTTCCCCCGTGCAGCGGATTCGCGCTGGCCCAACCTCGAGCCTTCCTGTTGCGGACCTCTCGCGAAGCCGCGATCAGCTCGCGACCGGAGCGCCCGCGAGTGCCTCTGGAGCCCGAGACAAGGGCGAGGTCGCCCATCGCTGCTCCTTCGCAACGCCGCAATTCGAGGATCAACCGCCTCGCCCCGGCGATCTGAACGGGGGGGCCGCGCACCGCCCCGCGTCCTCGGCTCCACTGCAGCGGCAAAGCCGGCCACAGCTGGTTCTCCTCCTCTTCCTACATCGACCTTGCCCTGCTCCATTGCCTCCGTCCCCAGCTTCCTCCTCCTACCACTGCTCCTCCGTCCTCCTCCTGCTGCTCCCCCCTTCTGCTCTTTCTTCTTCCTTCTAGTCCTCGTCCTCGTCTTACTCGTCGTCCTACTCCTCAGTCCTCCTCCTCGTCCTCCTCCTCATCATCATCAGCAGCAGCAGCATCATCATCATCATCATCATCATCAGCACCAACATCAACATCATCATCACCATCATCATCATCATCATCATCATCATCATCATCATCATCATCATCATCATCATCATCATCATCATCATCACCCTCCCTCTCCTACTCATCTTCCTCCTCATCTTCCTCCCTTTCCTCTTCCTCATTTCGTCCCTCCTCGTCGTCGTCGGCCTCTTCTGTCGTCCCCCTTCCTCCCTCCTCTCTCTCCGCCTCCTCCTCCGCCTCCTCCTCCTTCTCCTTTTCCCTCCACCCTCCTCTCCCTCCTCCCTCCTCCCTCCTCCCTCTTCCCTCCTCCCTCCTCCTCCTCCTCCTCCTCATCCTCCTCCTCCTGGCTCAAGTCCTGATCACACCGCTGGAGGTGCAGGACGACAGCATTGCCGTTCAGGGAAGGCCCTGGGCGCTGGGGCTCGAGCGGGCCCCCCACGGCGTTTCGGCACCACGACCACGAAGTCTGTTTTCGCTCCCTTGTGCGCGCCCACGAGGCGCAGGGATCACAAGTCGCGATGGCCAAGCAGCACAAGTTCATCACGTGCAATCGCCGCGGCTGTAAAGGCTGGGCTTGGTGTTCTACTGGTGCTAAGCATTGTGCTCAATGCGGCGGCCGTTTCAAGCAGCAGCAGCAGCAGCAGCAGCAACAGCAGCAGCAGCAGCAGCATGACCAGTCTGGAGGCACCCGTGGCAGTGCCGCCAGCAACCTCGGTGCCGCGGGCGAGGCAGGACCAGGTCTCCAGCAAACGCATGAGCCGCACCGTGACAAGCCTGGCCGATGGCGTGGACGCGACCGGTCTCGTAGGCCCAATTGCCCTCCAGGTCCCCGACGGCCAGGCGCAGTCTCTTTCGCGGAAGGGGATGAACCGCAGCCACAAGCAGAATATCAAATGGTTCTGGCGCAGGCGCAGGTCACATTCTGGAAGAAGTGGAAGCCCAACGGCGAGGAGCACACCGCGGCGTTGGGCAAACTCAAGCAGGCCAAGGCCTCAATCTTGGCTTCGAAATCGTTGGACCAGCAGGCACAATCTCTCTCGGACCAGTTGGGGACCCAACTCCAGAAGTACGCATCACAAACATCGGAACTCAAGCAGCTCGTTGCAGTCATCCTGGACGTCGGCGATAGGCACTCCAAGCTCGTCACGGAGGCCAAGAACAGGCGGCAGGAGATCCAGGACCTCGAGAGCCAGTGCAATATGGCCAAGCGAAGACCTATTATCGACCTTGCATGGGGTTCTCGCGGCGCGCGTGCCGCCCGGCAGCAGGGCGCCGCCCGACCTCTGCTCGAAGGTGGCCGAGCGTGCGGCCTACTTCGGCGACCTCGCGACTCAGCGCGTGCAGTCCCAGGAGGCGGCGCCGAGGCCGCGGGGTGGACAACGGCTTCCCGAGCGTCGGCGAGGCTCCTGAGGGAGAGCTCGTCGACGCAGGCGACGCCGCCAGCGGCGACGCGCCGCCGACGCCGCCCATCGGCGCCGCCGCGGCGGCGGGCGCTGCGGCCACAGGCGAGAACGCGCCGCGCCCGAACGACGCGGAGCTCGACGCGGGAGCAGACGAGATGGACTAGACCAAGTCCCTGGCGCGCGCGGCGTCGGCCCCCCGGGCCGTCGCCAGCGGCGTGGCCGAGATCCAGGGCAGGGAAGGCCCGTGGGCCAAGCGGGCCAAGGCGGCGGCATCAGCAGCAGCGGCAGCAGCAACGGGGACAGCGGGGGCATCAGGGTCTTCGCCGCCGTCTTCACCACCGTCTCTTTGACAACGTCTACACGCTCGCCACGATCAACGGATCGTGCTTCGTAGGGGCCCAGCACTGCGCGCAATTTAACTTTCATCTGCGCCCAGGAGCCCAGGCTTGAAGCAGGGGGCAGTAGCATTCGTCAGATACAATGGTGCTTCGCACGAGGCTGGCTTGCTCACGTTGCGCCTGCCGCCCGCAACCCCATCGGGTGAGCTTGTCTCGGGGGTGGCGGTTTTAGTGCGGGATGGCTTGGACCTCGGGGTCCAGCCGCTGCAATTTGCTCCAGGACTGACAGCTCCAGACTCGCTGGAATTGTCGTCGAAGCGCCAGGGGTCCCAGCTTTCGGTCTGGTGAGCGCTTATTGTCATGCATCCTCGGTCCCCAATGAGACCGATTTAAACCTGCTGGCCGCCATCGGCCAAACCCAAGATCTAGCAGGCAAGCCTCTCACTGTTGCAAGCGATTTCAATTTGCAGCCAGAGGGGCTTCAGCAGGGCGCGGATTTCCTCACGCGCGCCACGATGAGGGCAGCGGCGCCCAAAGCCGCCACCTACCGTACTAAGAACACGAAGTCGACCCTCGATTTCTTTATCCACAGCCAGGCCTTGGGGCCCTGCCTGGAAGCTCCCTGTA